AATCTATTATTCCTTCTCTGTAAGCATAACTATTATTATAATCATCATGTTATCAGTAACAATAAAAGGAATGAAGTAAATAACTAAAGTCAGGTAGGTACAGAAACTGACATCTTGGTGACACGCTCATTTTACAAGACATCTTAAGAGGTCCTCAGAATATTCCTTATTCTTTATCAGAAGATTTGGGAAAGGATGTAAGGCAGGGGTAACCCACCCTAACAACTGCACAGAATTCCTTATCTATAATTAGTGATGCATTAGAATGATTTAAACATATTAACACATTCGCGCCAGGTGTCACGTATATGTGACATGCCTACTGTGAGTTTACTTGTTTAATTATTTTTACACATAGATGGCGACACTTATACTTGTACTGCCTGTCTCGCCCATTTACCCTTTTCTTTAATTTATGAAAATATTTTACGTTATCTTATTTTGCTGTTACTAGTGTTTACAACATTATAGTAATTATAATGTTTATAATAAAAATAACCATCGGTATTCATAGCATAGTATTCATAAAAATACATTTTCTTGCCAATTCAAGTAAAGGTGAAATCAGGTAAGGCAGAGCCATCTAGTGTAGAGACATTTCACAAAAAAATATAAAAAATGAGCACAGCATTTTCCCCATTTTTTATTCATTTTTACCCGTTATGAATGGGTTAAATGCCTGTATAACTGTAGCACAGATTTTTTTTTTTTTTTTCCCCAGGTCTAGCATACTAAATATATTGTATTGACTAGCGGTATTAACCCAATGGCACCGGGTGTACAAAAGAAAAGAAAAGAAAAAAAAAAAAAGAAAAGAAAAAAAAAAAAAAAAAAAAAAAAAAAAACTCTACGCTTAAACAAACAAAGGCGGCGCGCCAACTTTGAGCGCGTGAGTAGGGGACATTAGCCCAAATCACTGGCTCGCCACCGGCTCGTTCGGCTGCACACCAGCTTTTGAGCTCTTTGTTTACACGCCGATCAGCGTCACCCGGCACCAAGGGGTTAAGCGTGAAATTCAGATTAATGATAAAAATAACATTTACTCTGTAAGGAAAGCTTCCTCATCCCTAGATATTTTTCAGTACTTTTACTTTAATATTCATTTGTTTTCATTACATACATGAGCAAGTTATAAGAATGATTATACCAAAACCCACTTTGTTTCCCCAATGTACATGAACTTTGTATGTGTTCTTCCATCCATTTGCACAGTGCTAACCATTTTCTTCCTACTACCCATCATGTATCCCCTATGGCTGAAGAAAACAATTACATTTGGGAAGACAATGCAGATTATGTTAAGAACACGCATGAAGTGACTGAATGCTGGCCAATAGACAGATATACTGGAAGAAAACATTCCAAAACATTAAAAAAAAAAAAAAAAAAAAAAAAAAAAAAAAAAAAAAATTTCCCCCTGAAAACTTAAGAGGGCCTACTAACTGCCTCCTTCGTGGCTTGGTGTTCTTATGGAGCCAAACATGTACCAACAAAATTCACAACACATAATTACAATGGACAATCTATGTACCCAACAGCAATGGGTTAAGGCCTGCAAATACAAAGATGCACTACACATACATTTATAAGAGTATTTGTAAAAATTGTGCACTATGCACACGCCATATTTACATGATTCATATTAGTATTCAATGTTATGTGGGAAAGAAACCTGAGATGCAAAGATCAGGCATAAGATATTGCTGGCAGCTGAAAACTTTGGGATCTTTCACCTAATAAATAAGAAGACTGTTCTTAAACAGCTTAAAGGAAAGAAGGAGGAGATTCCTTAGAATTCTTGAAGATATTGCCTCTTTTGTAATGGTAACAAAGATGTTGCTGACTAATATCTAATATATATATATATATATATATGCACCAGAAATGAATCTAGTTCCTAATGTTTTAACAAATATAAGACTTATCTTTTTGACATTAAACTAAACAACAAAAGTCAGAAATTTTGTTTCCTAAGACTACTTTAGAATAACTAAACTTTTCTACCAAAATGTCAATAAATCCCAGTTTAACCCATTGCCGCCACGGAAAATGAACAAAAAATGGGGAAAATGCTGTACTCATTTTTTATATTTTTGTGAAATATCTCTGTACATAGATGGCTCTGCTAGTCCTGATTTCACCATTCCTTGAATTGGCGGGAAAAAACATTTTTACTAGTGCTATTAACCCCTTGGTGCCGGGTGACGCCGATCGGCGTGTAAACAAAGAGCTCGAAAGCTGGCGTGCAGCCAAACGAGCCGGCGGCGCGCCAAAGCACGGCGAGCCAGTGATTCGGGCTGATGTCCCCTACTCACGCGCTCAAAGTCAGAGTTTTTTTTTTTTCCTTTTGTACACCCGGCGCCATTGGGTTAAATATAGATGGTGTTATTTTTAACAGCAAATTAGGATTCGTAAATCGATGAAAAGGGTGAATGGGCGAGACAGGCAGTACTCGTAATTGGCTCATTGGTGACTTAGTACAAGTGTAGCCATCTATGTGTAAAAACAATCAAACAAGTCGACTCACAGTGGGCATGGCATGTACGTACATGCCATCCCCGGTATGTCATGGTACTCTCAAACCCTTACGGGACTAGGAAGTTGTGTATTCCTAGTAAAGTTAATGACCAAATGGTTGTGTACAATCACTTCTTTCTTGGCTCTCAAGCTTACAAGGTGGCCAAATGATTCACCAAGATGATGAACAGGACACTGACTGATGGAAAATAGGAAATATGCTGCACCTGCATTCCACTGCCCTGGCCTATTGCAGACCTGTCAAGCATATATCAATAAGGATCCCTACTCCCCCTCCCTTCTTGCTTTAATTACAAATTATTATGCTTTTTGTTTTCTTATTTCCCAGAAGTATAACTGACTACATGAATATTATACTATTATATTATATATTATAATGGTGATGATAATAATAATAATAATAATGAAGGAAGTAGCAGTAGTTGAAAGTAATAATCACTCCGTCTTCACGGAAATCCTAGTTGGCAACTTCCAAGCTAACCCCCACCTCTTTGGCTTTATTGATTGCCAATATTAAATTTTCTTTTCTTCTTGGTTTTGTTTTTGTTCATTTTTCTACCACTGTTATTACTGAACCATTTTCAAAGAAAATGCACTGAAAGACATTTACCATAGAATATCACACAGAGCTAATTTGTCATCATGTTTAGCTCAAGAGAGTGCCCTGTAAGATATCAGATATAGCTACATACAAAATTATTTGTATAATTTACTTGATATTATTATAATCACCAGAAGTTTAAAAAGAAATTCCAACTTTTATTTATGATAAAAAAGAATTCCTCACTATTAACAGCCATCAGAATACGATTAAGTAAAAGGCCATTTCATTTTTAGGTTCAACAGGACAAGTGGAAGTGGAGCTATGAGATTATACATGCTTGGTAATAATAATCACCAGCAGCATCAGGCAATGCATACTACCCCTAAACTTCCTGCATGTATCACAAGTATAATAATGATGATGATAACAGTTTGTCAACATATATACATACTACAATGAAAATAATTCCAAAACCACCTCTTATGATGAAACAGAATGAATTGGAATGAAATGAAATGGGGGAGAGGAAAAGAAAAAAAGAAAGAAATATTGGTGTATACATATACATATACATACATACATATATATATATATATATATATATATATATATATATATATATATATATATATATATATATATATATAATATAATTTACACACACACACACACATAGGTGGGGTGAGGTGCCATTTGATTGAGGTGCTAATCCCTTAGTTTCTTGAAGGGGAGGTTGGGACATTTCACATTTCCGTGAAACAAAGTAAGGTGTGGGACTTTCACATTTCAGTGAAAAATTCAACTTTATTATGAGAAATAAGGGAATGTAAGTTGTATACTAAAAAATACCAGGGAAATCCCTTTTTTAAAGTGCAAGAACATTATGATATCCTGGCCTTCATTTTGACTGGTCTTGAGGGTACCTCTAACAATAGGAGCCTGACACCCATGGGGTTTAATTATCATGTGAACTTTCCATTACAAAGAACATGTCTTGATTTTTATAATTAATATTCCTTTAACATATATTTTCTAGCAAACAAAATATTCCCAAATATGTTAGTGATTCACTGCATTGCAAAGCTTTGAGTTATGAACTAAGTAAAAGAACACTTAGACTTCCATATGATGCACAGTAGGTTTTACACCTAAAACAGAAAAGAAAAGAAGAAGAAAAAAAGTCATTTAAAGCTTTAGAGCTAATGTGTCCTACAAACAGTGCTATAGTAGCAACTACCTAGTACTATTTAACATCTTTCTACCAAATTTCTTACTCAAACTCCAGTCCATCTCTCACATTTTCCAAGAGGGCTTCCTATTACTGATTTCAAACAGTTACATCTTTATTTCATACTTTCTTTCCTCTTGGTAAATAAGAAACGAACTGAGTACATATATGATTTCAAATGATTCAAACTCAATGATCTCAATATTACAGACACTTAACCCAGTCACGACAGGTAAAAATGAACAAAAAATGGGGAAAATGCTGTGCTCATTTTTTATGCTTTTTGTGAAATGTCTCTACACATAGATGGCTCTGCCTTACCTGATTTCATTTGGCGGGAAAATGTAATTTTTACTAGTGCTATGAATATCGATGGTTATTTTTTGTATAAACATTATAATTACTATAATGTTATAAACATAAGTAACAGCAAAATAAGATAACATAATATATTTTCGTAAATTAAAGAAAAGGGTAAACGGGCGAGACAGGCAGTACAAGTACAAGTGTAGCCATCTATGTGTTAAAACAATTAAACAAGTAAACTCACAGAGGGCATGTCATGTATATGTAACACCTGGCGTGAATGGGTTAAGAGATGGGTCATGATTGCCAAGTGACTCCTTACTGAGATATAATATTGTTTCTGATGAAGGTATATCATCAAAATGTTTCAATTATATTTGCTCA